TTTTTTTTTTTTTTTTTTTTTTTTTTTACACCAGAACATTCACGGCGAAGGCAAAGACCAATTCGGCTTCATCGCTGGAAATTGATTGTGGTTTGGGAGGTGTTCGGGGGCCCACTAGGGGCGGTTTTGTTCTCGGTTAGGGGGCCTCCGTTATGTGTGACATTGGGCGTCGTTCGGGGACGCGATTCCAAGGATTCCGTCGTCGTCCCACCTGTCCTCGGAGATGAAATCGGAAATGAAAATGTGAAAACACTCTGAGGACAAATCCTCGGGCTCTGAGGATTTCCCAGCCAAATTGTCCTCGAACTCGAAGGACCTCGCGAGGTCCTTCGGAGCCCGAGGATCCGCAATTAACGGGGTGTCGGCGGCTACTCCAGAACGGAAATTGGAGGCCGAAGGTGGTCCAGTGGTGGTCCAGCGGCCAGAAGACGGACATCCCCGGCCGTCGTAGTCGAAAACCTCCAGCAACGGCCTCCTCGTTTTACCGTTGGCGCTGAATCGCGGGACGGCCCTGTAGGTCCTTCGGGCGGCCCCACGGAGGGGCCATGGCGATCGTCGGACGTCTTCGGCCGGCGCCCGGAGGGTTCGTGGCGTTCCCGCGGGCTTCCCAACAGTCGGAATTACGGATTTTGTAAGCGTCCTCCCCCTGTCGCTGCTTGCATGAATTTGGTTCGTTGACGTCTTCCCTCTCGCACAGTGTGTCTCTGCTCGCCGCGAATGCGACAACGGTTCTGTGTCGGCTGACCTAACGTTGATGGCAGACCTGTACCGCAGGCTGCCTTTGCTGCTGCTCGTCGCTCTGCTGTTGCTCATCGTTGTCGTCTTCCACATCTGTTTCCTCGGTCGCGTTCCTGGAAGGAAACAGACGCGTCGAACGCCGAAGAGGTCGACGAAGATGGATAAGCTTCAGACGAAGACGACGATGTCGGTGGGAGGTGGGGGGTCCTCGCGTCAGCGTTGCAACAGTGCGGAAGGCGCCAGGCGGCCGTACGACCCGACGCTGTACAGCCACGTGCCGTCCCACAAGATTCCATTGCCTCCGAGTGACGACGACGTCGACGACCCCAGATCCTCAACAGTTCCTCTCGGCAGCGGTTCGACGCAGGATTGGATGGGGAGCCAGGTGTACAGACACGCATCGACGCCGACGTCCACTGATTTGCTGGAGGGCCGGACCCCCGCTGGTTACGACGCTGGACTCGTCAATCTGAGCTTCGGTCTGAGGTCTGGGAGTGGCGAGGGCCTGACGCACACTGTTGTCGTGAACCCGGCTTCTGCCTCCAAACACACATCGCCTTTCGTGAGGGCGGCTGGCCCTGCGGATAGCCGTGGATTCGTTTCGCCGAGGCGGGTGGCTTTGAGTACAGCAAGTGTGGCCGCATCGAGGACGAAGACAACTGGATTGGCAGGCTGCCGAACGACGACGCCAGGCGGTGCAATCGACGGAGAAGGGGACGACGACGAGCGCGGCGCTACGGAGGTCGTCGGTCGTCAGTTTTGGGATGATGAACGGCAACGATTGCGTTCCACGAACATGGCCAGCATAACGAGAGGGGTGGCGAGAATCAGTGTGGGGGCCGAAGACGAATTTGAGGACTGCGATGGTGGAGGGGGCGAGGAGATCGCTGCAGACGACGGCGGTGATGACAACGGCGAAGACGACGACGGCGAGATGGAGATTCGTCCAGTAGGGAGGAAGCGCGGAGGGTCGACGGCGAGAACCAAGGTTAGAGAATCGCGCACGGGGCGGAAAGGCAAGAAGTGCAGCGAAGAATCGTCGGCTGCGGACGGATGAAGACGAAGACATGGAAGTGGGAGGACGTGGAGAAGAGGCTGGTGCAGATGGGGGTGACGAGTAGGAAGGTCGTCGACTGCGGAAAGAAATGGGACAACCTGTACCAGCAGTTCAAATCTGTGCACAAGTTCATGGGAGAATCCGGGAAGCCTAAATTCTTCACACTAACCCCGGGGGAGAGGAGGGAGCGGGGGTTCCACTTTAGGATGGATGAGCGCGTGTATTCGGCGATGAAGGAGATGTTCGGGGGCGATCACACTATACACCCCATGAATCTCGTGGACACGGGTGCGCCGGGAGGTGTTCAATTGCCTGGCACGGTTGGTGGGCGAAACGAATCCGGCGGTAGTGATGTAGGGGGGGGGGGTCAGGACGACGATCGCGGATCGACGAGGGATTCGTCGTTCTCCAGCTGTGGCGATGGCGGGGCCGACAAACGAAAGAATGTCAGACACCAGACCTTCGAGGCGATGGCGGACGTCATGAAGGAGCACGGGGCGCTGATGTCGACGATGGTGGACAGCGCGAGCAAGAGGCAGTGCTCAATTCTGACGAGGCAATGCGACATTCTGGAGAGAGAGATATAATTGCAGAAGGATCACTACGAGAAGGCTGACCAGGCGAACTTCATGATGTGCAACGCCCTCATGGAGATTGCTAAAGCAATCCGCGAACGAGCTTGACGTGGGCCGACCAGGCATGTCGAACGTCCGAAGGAGGCATGGCCCGTATGCGCTTCCGGCACGTCGCCGTTTCCGTCGTCCTCCGTGCTGCAGTACGCTGATGTGTAGTTTGTGTACAGTCGGCGAGTCGTTGTTGCTCACGCATAGTAATAATCGCGGGTTTTATTAATGATTGTGAAGGGCGTTGTTTGCTTTTATGCCCCACGACGCGTCCTGAGGTTGTACAACAGGTCCTCCATTTTTAAGATAGTGTTTAAAGAACGCTGTTGTGAGTTGTTGTCTCCACGCATGGATGGCGATCTTCCAGGGTCTTCTTTGGGGGTGTCCGCGAATGTGTAGGCGGCAGGGTGGGTTTTTTGGGACGCGAGGGGAAAATGGCGGATTGGAGTGCCTGGCCTTTTTGGGGGCGGGAGAGGACGGATGGGGGGCGGGGTCTTTGTACCTCCTGCGGGGAGCGCCTGCGCGCCCTCGTGCCTTGTTCGTCATGCGGAGGATGACCTCCACGCCGCGAGAAAATTCGCCTGTTGTGAGTTGACGAAGGGGCGGGCTGTAGTGGACGGCCTGGCCTATCCATGGTGTGGTGCGAGACCGCGCACCGTACAAAAGGGGATTCCGGGAGGCATTCCGTACCGCTGGCATTCTATCGCGATGACTCCAAAGGCACCGTCTGTGCATGGTCTCGTCGTCGCAGGACTAGTCATCCGCTTCGACGCTACAATCGGCGGGTTTGGGCTCCGCAAGCATCCACGTCCTCCTGCATCCACGTCAGCCAAGCGGCGTGCCATCGGGCTGGTCCTTCGTCCACAGCAGCGAAGCGCCGCATCATCAACGTCGTCCGTCGGCAAGGTGCCCGTCATCGACCTCCCATCGCTCCTTCATTCCTGTCGTCCAAGTGGTCCTTCGTCCACGTCAGCCAAGCGCCGCAGCTGTTTGCATTCGGCACGCACTTCTTTGTGGACGACATGGCACTATGTGGCGCTTCAGGGAAGGCGAAAAGAAACAGCGGATCGGGCGACGGTGGGGAGACCCAAAAAGGCAGAGGGCACGTGCCGAAGTCGAAAAGGCCGCGCTTCGATGACGACAGCTCCGAACATAGTGGGGATTTGCATGGCGAGGAAGAGTCAATGGTGGATGCACAAGGGGCAGACGTCATGAAGCGATTGGGGTTTGGGCAGGACGGGGTGTCGAGGGAGCAGCTGGCCGCTCTGAAGCAAGGCTTGGTCGGTGGTGTCGCCGTCTCGTTGGCACGAACCCCGAAGGCGGTAGGGATTGTCATGACGGACGCGCGCGTGACGAGACAAGTTCCGCCAAAGGTCGGGCAGGTGGCGCCACGTCAGCCAATCCCCGCGCTATAGGCGGGGTGCGGAAGAGGGAAGGGTCGATGACGTCCGCTGCGATGATGGGAGGAAGGATGTCAGGGGGGGGGCAATGATGACGACGACCGTCCGGTTTCGGCGATGGTGAAGAAAGGGGTTAAAGAGGATGATCTCGAAGAGAGGTCGAAGTTGTGGATCGACTGCGACGCATTCTGGGGTCAGGGACCGGGGAAGCCATTGATGGAGGCGGTAGGCGATTGCACGGACTACTTCGTCGCCATCGCCAACGGGGATGCAGGAGCGGAACCGCCTTCGATGCTGGTAATGCTGCCGAATGATGTGCCACGCTTCAAGATCGATGACCATGCGCAGCGTGAACCGGCTCTGCGCAGAGCGCGCAACGTGGAGAAAGTGGTGTTGCGTGCCATCCACAGCTGGATCTTCAAATCGTCGTCGAGGTCGACATGCTTCGCTCGTGCAGAATCGTACGTGATAGTGGACTTCGCAACAGACGTCGCGCGAGCAGTCTGGCACGCTTTAGAATGGCCGAAATTCGTTTCCCCTGCCCTTGTCTACCACACGCTGGCGATGAAGATGGACGTGCCTCTGTGGTTCGCTGGAGTGAAGATTGTGGATAGGCCCGAAGACGACGACATGGCGGCGCGGCAGGAGGCGACAGTTCTTCGCCTGGCAGAATGCTGGACAAATGCAGTTTGGTGCGGGCAATGGGCGGACGGTGGCCGCGTGAAACAAGATAGGTTGACGCGCCTTGCGGATTGTCTTCGAGTTCTGTTGAGCGCGTGCATGTGGATCATGCGGATGGGCGGTGACGACGACCGCTCGCACTACGAGGCATCATTCTACGCGTCCATGGTCGCCAAACCAACACTCATAGCGGTGGGCTCCTACATCTTCAATTGGCGGCGGCACATCGTTGACACCGCCAACCTCGTCTTGGATCGTTTGGGGAAGGCCCACCTCACGCTGGGAGATTACCCGCATTGCATCCCCGAATGGGCCGATTGCGGGTTGGTTTTTGGTCACAATGCGGTGTCGGTTCGAATACCCTTACAAGGGTATCCGCCCTGGTTTTTGCAAGTAACAGGAAGGCTCGATTAACCCGGATTTTGAGTGCCCGTGCTGGAAGTGCGAGGGTCGTCAGCGCGCGGGCAAAGGTCTGCCTTGTCCTGGTAGGAAGTATGTGGGCGCGCAATTTTAAGGCGCGCGTGTGATTTTTCTGATTGAGTGGGCGGCCGGGGTAGCCGACCGACCCGTACTAGGCCACGAGATTGGTTAGGGGGTGAAAGTCCGTTTTGGTCGGCACACGCGACCGACGGTAGGATTGGCGTGCCGGTAGGCACGTAGGATGGCCACAGCGTGGGGCGGTGGCCCGGCGTGGGCACCTAGGGGCCGTGGGTACAAATGTGGGCTGAAAAGAGTGGTCAGGGCGGTATCTTGGCCAGGGGCACCGTGCGGTACCGTTTGTATGGGAGGCCGCGCCTGCTGATACCAGGCTTGGGCTTAGCCCTATCGGTTATGGCGTTGGACTATTGCGGCGGAGGTACGGGGGTCGAGGCTGGTGGACCATGGCATGGGAGCAATGGAGCAGCGAAGGGCTGAGGGGTTGAGGGTCCCGCGGGACTATCCCCCTTAGTTTTGTTAGGGGAGTCCGTTCACGGGCCCACGTCGTAGGGCCAAAAGGGGCGCCAATAGGCCGCGCCCGGCTTCGGCCAACCTCCCTATTTCTTTTCTTTTCTTTGTTTTTTTTTGTTGTCTAGCCCTTCTTATTCGGATAGAACCGCTGGAGCCGGACACCTGGCTCGGGACTGGTTGCGACAGCAGGAGGCTGGTATAGCAGGCGCGCCTATGAATTGCTACGGCGGGGGCCTGTGTCGGACCTAGGAAGGGTCGTGCGACCATTTTGAAGTACCCAGGGGAACTGCTGCGTGCAGACCCCTTGGGACGGCCGTAAAGGTGGCAGTGGGGTAGTAAAGAGTTCGCACGGCCCCTGCGCGAAGGTGATACGAGTAGACCGTGAGAAAAGAGAGGGGGGGGGGGCGGCCCGACACTTGCTGATATTAGAGTCGTGGCACGTGACGGGCGCCCCTACTAAGGACCCGGCCTCGAAAGGAAGCCAGATCCCTGCCAAAATGGTGCGAGGGATGCAGCGGCAGCCCTTCGGGACATCTGCTAAAATGGGAACGATACAGAGAAGATTAGCATGTCTCTGCGCAAGGGTGACACCCACAAACGGGAATGAACCCGACCGTGAAACGGGCCGGGTACGGGCAAAAGAGGGACCGTAGGGCCTTTATGCCGACACGGGGCGTTACCCCGGCCGGGATTTTTTTGGGGATCCGCGAAGTTTGGAAGGGATACGGAGGAGATTCGTGTGGTAGGGGTGTAGGGATTGTTTGTCAAAGATCGGGAATGAGCCCGGACGTGGAACGGGGCAGGAGCATGAAAAGGGGGGCAGGAAAGGAGAAAGGGGCGGAGTGGCCTTTGAGAGTGCCGTGAGACGTTGCCCCGGCCTGAGTCTTTCGGAGCATCCGGCAAGACTGGAACGATACAGGGGAGATCAGCTCGGCCCCGGCGCAAAGATGACACATATAAATTGGGAGCGATTTCCTCCCTTCAGCCGCTTTGCTATTTTTGAGCCGATCGACGTTCGCGCTGCCCGGGCCACGAGGCGCTGATTATTGGAGGAGGTGGACCTAGATAGAGAGCCGCGGTAGGTGCACGCGGAAGGGAGTGATCGGAGATGGCGCAGCGCTAAGCGGTGGGGGGAGGAGGCTGGCAGCAGGCAGTGATGGTACGAGCGACTGTCCGGCGGGTGCCGAGGCAGGGAGAAGGGGGCTGACGGGGTAGCGACGGACTGCGAAGAAGAACGAAATGAACCCGGACAGGAAAACGGGCCGGGTGCATTCGAAAGTCGTAGGTAGACAGGCAGGGCTCAGTCGGGGATGAGTAACGCGCACGATTCTCTATAGAATCGGACAGGGGGGGGGACGTAGTAGGGGGTTTTCGATCATGTCGGACGCAATGGCGGGGTTGGTTTCAACAGTAAGTTAGTGGTTTAGTCGGGGTAGGAGCTGGAGGGGGTGTGGAAGCTTGGAGAGCTGTAGCTGTGAAAGGAACGGAAGGATCGATTACTCGCTCAGGTTTTGGTGAAATCGAGCAGAGCATTCCAAGCCCCGAACTCTGTGGGAGAAGGGCTTCCCCTCGCGCAGGGCCTATTCACCCTGCCCGTCGAGACACCCAACCTCAGAGGCGGAAATGTCGCGAGGGCCGAACGGCGTGTCCTTCATCCGTTCAATATCGTGAGGGGTGACCCTCTCTCGATATATTCCTTCAGCCATTCAATATCGTGAGGCCGGAGCCACGATTACCACGTACGATTGGCATCGGTGGTTGGTATAGAATTGGCCTGCGGCCGCGCAACTTATGTTAAAGTCCTGCGCTCGACGTTTCGCCGCCCCAGCGTCTAAAAGTTATGGGATCGTCGAGCTCGTACGTAGGCGCAACGCTTGGGATTATTGTAGGCCGCTGGCATCACCCGTAGAGGGGAGGGGTACCCCAAGGTCATGATTCCTTCTAAAGCAAGGGGACCTTTGCCCTATTCCCTTTCCTTGTTTTCGTGTGTGTTTTGTTTGCTTTTTAACGATGATTATGGTTGGACGTTATAGTTTGTGGCAGCTGTCAAAGTCAAACCCCTTGACTTTCGCCCAGGCCCGGGAGGGACTTACCCCCAGGGCCGCGAGAAACGACCACCACCACAGGTTCTGGACCTGTGTACCACCCGCTCTGCACAGAGTGCAAAAGAGGGTGTGTGGTCTTCAACCACGCATGGCGATTGTCTGGCGTCGAGAGATTAACCCTCAAGGCGCGTGTCAGCCGACACTTGAGTCTCGAACGCGACCCTCAAGATTAACGAGGGCCGCGCGAGTGTGGGTACCACATAGTACGCCATCAGTGCGACTGTTCGCGTATGTTTGCATTGCGAGTCGATATGAGTTAACCCTGCGTCCGCGCGGTTTATACTAAGTCTCGTGCGAGACGCGTATTGGATTTCCGCATTGGAAAGTTATGGGTTGACTACCGAGGGGCTAGGAGCATTGTTGCGTTGTTTGTGTTGTGCCGTGTTGTATGTGTGTGCGTGTGTGTTTTATTTTTGCGTGCGTAAAGTGGTGTGCGCGTGGTGTGTGGGATGTGTCCTAGTCGACCGACGACGAGTCGCGCTTGGGACCTCAGCCCCCCAAGATGTCGGTTCGCGTGCGGGTCCGATAGGCGTAGTACCGCGCGTACCCCCTATGCTACAGGGAACCAGAAACGCCCTTGGCTGATCCACCTCTGCGATTGCAACTGATCAGCTTTCGTATTGTGGACTGGTAGCTCGGCGGGGATACGCCCACCGAAGGGAGGTGACAACTCCCGTAAGGTGGAGGTAAGTTGTGCCTCGCGTAGGCCCTATCCTGTCGTAGGGGCTCGCAAGAGGTATGGCTAGCGCACTCGGCTGGAGCGACCTAAGGAAGTTCCATTTGCGTGTTCGTGTTGAGGTTGGTCCAACTCCTGCGTGACGTGGCCGAGAGGGTCCCGCACTGCCACGCGCGGTGCCGGACCGATGCGCTCGACAGCGGCCCACCGGCGGATATGGTGATAACGAAAAGTGACACGTGGTTCATCCGCAAGGCCGCGACGGGATGGGGGCGGG